AATTGACCGCATGAAAAGAACAAAAGGAATATAAGAATGTCATTGACAAGTTACGTGAGGAAAATGACGTGTTTCATGGATGTTTATATTGACGTGTATTGTAAAGTTTATATAATGTCTTTTTGGGTCCTATCTAAATTCCAGCAAAAAAATTCTTATTTTTATTTTTGTTTATTTTTAAATATTTTTTTGATCACCAATTGGATTGTTCCAAACCTGATCTAGATTGATGATTCGGCCATCGAACACAAGTTTGTGGGTAAACAATCTGCCCCACCGATCCAGGTTTTGAAATACAAAAAGGTAAAAGACAATAAATATTTCATCCATCTAATATTTTGGTTTTTATTTTAGAATCACCAAATATATTTTTAAATAAAAAAAACTAAAATTCCGAGTTTTTTTATAACAAATAGACCTTATCATTCAAAAATCGGAAAGATCCCCAATCAATTCCAATACACTATTTTTCAAACAGATAAGTATACAAATAATTTTTTTCCTCTTTCAATATTGACGTTGGTGCCTAACCGAAAGAGGGTAAATTCTGAATTGGGGGTCCTAAAAATACTCTCAAATAGATTTATGCTCAAGAGAGCATCCACTAAGGGGAGCATATAATCTAATTTCTATGCCCACTTGCAACTAAGAAGAGTACAAGTAAAGCCAACACATTATGTGCTCCTTCAGGAACATATTGCCTCTTAACTTCCTTATGTAAATTCCTAGGACCATTTAGGACTTCAAATTTTGTGGATATAAAGTCTTCAATACATGGATTAACTTTGATTTAAAAAATACAAAAATAACTAAAAGAGCTCTCATATCATGCTATCTATGCTGTACCTATTCAGCATACTGTAAAGCGTAGTTTAAGGATAGAACAAGTGGCATGTACTAAAATAGAGACTTATTGAGATAAGGATAAGGTAGAAAGGCGCCCATCTAAGGCATACCTCCAAAATTTGCTTAGAGATGTAATTTTGGTGTTCAAAAACATTATGAGGGCTTGAAAATCTATTTTATCCCTTGTTATAAAAACTAAAATTTTATAAATGATATAACTCGAGCGGATTTATAAAGACTTTGAAAGTTTGGAAAATAGACAGTCTAGATAACTTATTATACATGCTCATTTTTAGGACTTGAAATTCTTTTTTCCTTCCAATCCACATATCTCAAGGTTGAAATGAAAAATTCGAGGGTTCTTCAACATCGAAACACCATCTTCTAGAGGATTTTTGATGTGCACCTTGCTTCTATAGTACTAGGCTGCAACTTTACATAAACTTTTCCCTTAATAAAAATAAAATAAAGAAGTATACGAGAGGATGACTTCAGAATATTTTCCTCTGCAGTCGCCCTCCTTCTTCTCACGTGGTCAATCTTTCCTTTTTTTTTTTTGCTTTAGGTCTCAATCCCTGGTTAAAAGGACCCATACTTTTCTCAAATTTCAATAGAAGTATATTTTGCAATAATTATTTTATAAAGACATGTCATCACTATCATCTAAATCTTATTCCAACTATTTGGGGTCAGTTACACGAATCATGTTGCCACATTCTCCTCTATCAAGGTCCATACCTCAGTCCAACCATAAATCACGATATCCCTTCTCACATCTATTCGTGTCCTTTTAAGTCTTCCCCTTGCCTCTTTAGAGCTTCTTAATTGAACCAAGGTTCCCTCCTTACCTATGTTGTAATAAGTCGATGGTACGCTAGCCCACATAAGTTTATTTTTCCACATCTTGACACTTTTGGGGCCAGCCCTAAGTTCTATGAGACGTATTCATTTGGAATTCTATCATTTCATATGTTGTCACTCACATATCTCAACATCCTCATCTCAACTACACTGATTCTATAGATATGTTGTTTGTTGATTGCCTAATATTTCATCCCATATGGCATGGTTGGTCTTATATATGTCCTATAAAACTTCACCTTCAGCTTCATTGGTATGCAGCGATCACATAGAACTCCATAAGTACATATTCAGTTCATCTATCCAGTTCTAATTTTATGTATGATAGCTTCCTCGATCTTGATATTCTCATGGATTATCGATCTTAGATATCAAAAATGATCTGTAGGTACTTTTTGACCATCAATCTTAGTCAGCACCTCCTTTCGACTCCTATTATTATTAAATTTTTATTTCATACATTATGTCATAGTTCAGCTAATTTTAAAACATTTAGATTCCATAGCATCCGTCCAAAGTTCTAATTTGGTGTTGACATCATCTTAAGTCTAATCAATCGAAACTATGTTATCTGGCAAACAATATACACTGCAATACTTCATCATGTGCTCCTCCATAACCAAAACAAAGATATATGGGCCCAACACTAATACCTGATGTAGGTGTATTGTCATTGAAAATTCATGTTTCTCTCTACTAGTTGTCATCACACTAACTAGTGTTCCCTTGAACATATCTTTCACCATGTCAATTTATCCTTTAGAGACTCATTTTTTTTCTGGCACCGACCGAATTAACTCTCTCGACACCTTATCGTATGTTTTCTCTAAATCATAAAAATCATGCGGAAGTCTTTCTTCTTCTCCCATAACTTCTCAATTAGTCACTTAAGTAGGAAAATAGCTTCAATTATTGACCTCCCTAGTATAAAACCGAACTACTTTTTTGAAGCACTCGTTTCATATCTTAGTCATTCTCAGTCACTCTCTTCTGTAGGTTCACAGTGTAGCTCATGAGTTTGATCCCTCCATTTGTCATGTAGTTCTGTATGTTTCCTTTATTCTTGAATCTATTGATTGACAAGGATCAACGATTCATACTTTTTTATGCAATGCCTGCAACCTTTTCTCTAATTCGACGCACCACAATACTTTCTCTCTAGTAATATCACATTTTCTTTCTTCTCAAGATCTTGTTGAAATAGCTTCATCAACTAGAATATGCCAATCTCTCCCATGCACTTTCAAACTTCTATTTAGAAACCATATGGTCCTAAAGTCTTTCTTATATTCATTTTTCTCAAAGCTTCTTTGACTTCAGATATCTTAATCCCACAAATATATCTATGACCTTCGATTTCATTTATGTCAAAGGTTCCCCCTTAGCCCTATGCTCCCATTGTCTATGTTATTTTACTACATTTGAAAATACAATTCTCCACCTTTCGTTGATCTTGCCATCCTACAACAAGAATCATCATTCTTAATGTATTTAACATAATCTAGATCCCCACACTTCCTCTCTCTCATTTTTGTTAGTTTGAAGACCTTGTTTTTACTTTCTCATATCCCCAATTTGTTGTATAGATCATCATATTCCTTAAGTTTAGCCTTGCATAATATGTTCTTATCATTGTTTCTAGCAATTTCATAGTCTTTTAAGTTTTGATCATTTCTATCACATTGCCAAGCATTTATATCAATCATTTTTTACTAATTTCAAATAGACATGTATTTTAAAAACGAATTATAGGTCACAGAAACCTAGTGTGTGCATAATTAGATTGTAGAGTGACTTACTTATGGACTCTAAAATTTAGATAAGATACGAAATTGTCCACTTATAGGCATAAATTACAAAGAAGGTCGGTCAACTCGTCTTTTTAGCTTTTCCAAAATTGCCTCTCGGTCAACCCAAATTTTAGGGGGAGAGAGAGATAAATGAAGAAAGGGAAGTTGGAAATCCATCCCCCTTTGAGAGACAAAAACTACCTGGATCAGAGAGAGGAAGAGGCATTGTATCTGGCTGAGAGAGAGTGTGTGTGTGTGTGTGTGACGTAAGGGGGGTGGCATCACCTCCCAATTCTCAAGGAGGTGTACATGAAACTTGGGGCCAACTCACGTCAGCCATAGGTGGAGGCCAAGTAACTTAGCTGAGTCGACTAGGTCTTAAAACACTAAATAGGACGTGTGTCATTGAATTAAATATGGACCCTATAGATAGAAAAACTATAGGATAGGGGAGAGAGTTTATTATAGGAGCATCTAGGTTATCTATGGAGGGATTGCAAAATTATAGGATGTATTTCTCATCCATGTTATTCGTGTTAAAATATTTGAATAGGATAGTTTTATTTGAATTGAATTATTTTTATTTTAAATTTTTAATTATTTTTGTTATAATTAATCGGGTCCAACGGTCGAAGCGGAAGCAAAATAAAATAATCGGGAACCGGGTATCATACTTGAATGCTTGCAAAAAGATTTCTGATGAACGAATACGAAGAGGAATGATCAACTCACGTACGCACGTTCAACAACTTCTAGAGCTGCTGAAATCTACAGCACACTGTAAATCCTGAGCGAAGTAGAAGCTCACGAACACTCTTACAGATGCGATTGAGGAGTAATCCGAGCTCGACTCTTACGCACAACTCTATCTCTCAGGGCTGGTTTTATCCTTAAAACTTGAATAGGAGAGGGATTGTACTCACTCTCTATCATACGCTTTCTCTCTTTCAATAGGAGCTCTCACACTTCTTACACCTTTATCGTGTGTGTAGTGTTGTGCATAGAGACCTCCACCCCTTCCCCTTTTATAATAAGAGAAATGACGCTCTCATTCGTGTGAGAGTAACCTCCGCATGAATGGGCACCCTTATAGTGCATGGTGCATGCCGTTCATAAGAGGGTAATCTCCTTATGAAGAAGTGCAATCTCTCCCCACCTCCCTTCTTGTAGTTAACGTAACTGAAACATGAAGGGGTGTGGTCCACTTGGGTGTACCCTCACAATAGGGATGCACCTCATGTCAATAATTTTATTTTATTTTTTTGATGAGGAGGAGGGAGGATAGTTTAGCGGTAGGAGTCGCACTTGAGATGGGGCACTAGGTGAGGTCAACTAATAACAACTCAAGCCGAAACCCAATTCCTTAAATAATTTAAGGAAATTTGATTAGGGCCACCATCGAAGTTTTTAAAAGAGATTTTGGACTGCACACGAGAGTAGCAAGTGTTCCTAATTAATCGGAACAAAGAGCACACATTTACATCAATGAGAAGCACAGAAGCCTCAACACAATTGCAAAGCCCCTTCTACAACAAATGAACAACTGAGCAACAAGAACCACAATTTCTCTTAAGAATGAATTGAATATAAAGAATAGATAGAGCTGAACAAACACAAGCATAGTATCCAATACCAGTTGAACTTCCCATTGCTAGCATTATTTGTGCCACTTGCACCAGCCCGTTGGGGCACTGAGCACCTAGCCCTGATCTGCCCAGCTGTTCCAGTAAGTGGCTCAATGTCCCCCATCTTCACCATAGCCACCGCAAAGTCCGAGTAGAAGGCACTTTGACTGTTACTATAAAACAACACTATGCCATCAGTTGATCCACCATTAAACAACACTTGATCTGACTCTAACAAACCCTGTTTCTGCCTCAAATTATGGAAGTAGCTGTTGTCGAAGCTGTCGGGAGTATCAAGATCGAGAGGTGAGAGGGCTGAGTTGTTGCCATTTAACGGGCAGTGCGGACGTCTTATGCTAGCAATTCCAGCATTGATGTTGGGGTGATTGTAAATTCTGTTCCTGAAATTGAAGCACTGGGCTTGGCCTATGGTATGTGCACCGGAGAGAGCCACCATGTCTTTGGCAATGAGTCCCTTTCTGCCAAAGAGAAAGAGGAGAACGTGCAAGGAAGCGGTGACGACAGGGAGTTCTATCTCTCCGTCTCTCTTTCTTGCGGTTGCAGAGTCTCTACGCCCCAACTTCACTTCCCAAGATGGGCCTCCCATCTGTAGAGAGAATTATTTCACAATCAATTTTTGCTTATGTCAGTTTTCAGTTTGAGAAATAGAAGGCGAAAATCCGAAAATGTTGAGATACATGTTTAGAGTTGAAATCATACTTGTAGGTAAAAGAGTCAAAATTGTTAGGAAAAAAACTGAACAACTTGGAACATCTTACAAGTTGGTCCAAATGCTTCAATGTTAGGGTGATTGTTTTGACCCCTTAAGACCTAATTTAGATGAATCTTTTACCTCCAAGCTTGGTTTAAGACATGCCATGAACTTGTTTAAATTGGGGAGAAATAGTTATTTGGAAAACAAACTAACAAATTGTTATTTTTGAATTGGGATACATTAGATACAATGATGCCACGCTTATTATAGCCGTCAAATGGGGAATTTGATAACTTGAATATCACAGAATTCGCTTGAACTTTGACCATGGTGAATACAACGCCTGCAGCTTCGAATTTTTCTGCTAATAGCTAAGGTTAACTGTTACCACCTTGGGCTAAGATCGTGGTGATAGCACCCCCACACTATAGTCACGATATTGTGGTTTTCATTCTTGCCACTAACACCACCCTACTAACACATTCAAAAAGTTAACTCCTACTGAATTACCCAAAAAACCACTGAATTACCAAAAAAATGGGTAGGGCCTCTCTCCCCCTACTGAATTACCAAACAACCAAAAAATAATACTCATGAACTATGCAAACACACAAAAAAAGAAAACAAAGCTGTGCGACTCTTGAAATATTATTTTGAAGGACCATAATATTTGAAGGACTATAAAAGATTTTAAGAGAAAACTGTTGCTAAAGGAACCGGTCGCTTTGATATGCTTACTGCTACAGAAGAGTCTCTAGCTGCAACTGCGAGGATGTCGGCACAGGAGACCACGCCTAGACATATGCTTTCCACTTTCGACTTTGCGTTTTCAATAACTTCGAAGCCTCTTGCAGAGCCAATTTTCTGAATGGCATCCTTCTCGCTTTCAAAAGAGGAAGTCGAGTCCAAGAGCACCGATGCATCGCCCCCCTGCACATAGATATCCAGTCATCTAAGATCACCAACACGCGCAAGCCAGATAGAGTTCAATAAATAGAAAGAAATTAGACTCATAGATGAATAGATGAATAGATAAATAGATAGAAAGATATAATACATTTATAAACTGGAAGAGCGAGAGCTCACATTGACAAAGCAGTCTTTGAAGTGGAGGTTAATAAGGGAGGCTCCCATGCGCGTCTCCTCTGATATCGCGGTGAGAATGGCGGTGGGGATGGTGGAGAGCGCATCGGGGCAGCTCGAATCATAGAAGTTGGTGCTCAGCTGTTGCCCTTCACATAGTAACAGCATGCTGCTACTACTACATAGCACTATCATCAGCAATGTTGCTATATGGGCAGTAGAGCAAGAGCCCATCTCTTTTCTTTATATAACAGGTAAGAGAACGAGAGGATTAAAGAAGCCTCTTAAAGAGAGAGAATGGCTCCTGGAATGCAAATGTGTAGGGCGTAGTTTTTGGCCTTGAATGCACAAGAAAACTAGAGAGAGAAACAGAGGTTAAAATCTTAAGGGTGATAGAGAGAGAGAGAGACTTTTGTGGTATTCTTGTTGTTCTAAGTGATGAGAAGAGATGAAGGGCAATATATGTATCTATAGAGACAAGAAAATCCTTTCAGTTCATAAAACACGGATAGTCGGAGCTCCATTAGACGACTTTCTTGCTTGCAAGGTCTTTTACTCAAGGAAAAGTTAGAATCTTTCAATTTTGAGGCTCTCCATCCCCTCTCGCTCTCTTTATGGAAATAATTACAAGAACCCCTTTTCACCGAGCTTTCTTCACAACCTACCCCAGTCAAAACATTGCTGCAATATTTACCTCAAAACATCTATTTCTAGCAAATACCCCCAGGCAAAAAGTTATAGCTTTTAGGACCAAAATACCCTCTCTTTCCCCTAACACCGACTACTTAACTTTTTTCATAACAAACAAAAAGGCGGTCTGAAGTATAAACAAACGGTCGGGCAATATCCCAAAGCTATCCGGCACTGATAAAAAACTTCCCAGCAATAGGCCCATGCAGTCCAACACTGCCAAAGAGCGATCTGACAATAGGCCCATGCAGTCCGGTAGCAAGTCCATACGGTCTGGCAACAAATCCAAGTGCGGTCCAGCAATGTAAAAGAGCATACCGACACTTTTTTTTAGTTTAACAAGGTCCAACAATTGGTACATGGCAATCAGGCAATACATATAGCTTTTTGTACTGTGCCTAAACCCACGTAAATATCAAGCCAAAATTAATTTTTTATGTATAAAATTTTTTTTTGTCAAAAATATGCTTTTTTTTATTTTTTATTTGAAGATATTTGCTAAAAAAATATATTTTGAAGTAAAATTAAAAAAAAAATTTAATTGGAAGTAAGTTGCATATAAACTCTATTTTTTAAGGTTACTTAAAGTTCCCCTTTTTCTTGAGGTTCTCGCTCTTCCACCGCTCTCTTTTCATTTTTAAGGTTATCTCCCTCTTCTTTTGGCTGCGGGCTACCATAAAACGTGTTCCCCTTTGGTAGGCTCTTAGACTCCCACTTTGAGTGAGTCCGATTTTTTTACAATAACCAAAATGCCTTTATCTCGTGTGACTTCACGCTATCCGCATGATTTGTTAACGAAAATCGCCCGAAAAAAGAGAGAAAATAAACATCAATTTGAACGAGGTGAGGTTTACATAAGGTTGCCTCTTTATATTAGATCCTAGTTATAAAATTAAAAATTTAAAAAATGATACAAATCGATTAGATCTATACGTAATTAAAATTTTGAAAATAAACAGGCGAAGTTACAAGATGCAATCTTTTTTAACATGAATTTTTTTTTCTTTTTATATCCATATATCTCGAGATCGACATGAACGATGAGGAGGTTTTCCAGCTTCATAAAATTGTTTTCTACTGGATTATTGAGGTGTAACTTACATCTACAATATAAGAATCACTATATAAACTTTTTCATTTGAACATTCAACAGCTTGTTGTGTAAGGCGAAAAATCTAAATTAGTTGGTTAATTTGGAATCATTTATATATTGTAAGATCATTTATCTTTGGTACGGTCAATAGCACTTCTCCAACTGCTGGAATATATATCCAACGGGCGATAGTGATTGTAAACTTTTTGTGAAAAAAATAAGGGGTAAGGTTTACATAGGGTTGCCACCTTATAGTATAGAAGTAAGGCGTGTTTCTTAAATTTGTTTGGGGATTTAGTATCAATGTCAGAAATCATTAGATGGCTTTTAAAATTTATATTCGACCCTAGTTATAAAATTGAAAATTTCAGAAATGGTAAAGATCAAGCTGATCTATAAACACTTGAAAATTTTGAAAATAGACAGCCTAAATAACATGTTACAAGATGCATAACTCTTTGGACTTGAATTTTTTTTTTCTTTTACTTCCATGCATCTCGAGGTCGAGATGATTTACATCTATACATCTTGAGGTTGAGATGATTGATTAGAGGGATTTCCAACTTCAGAAAGCATTTTTTTAGTGGACTTTTAAGATGCACCTTATTTCTACATTATAAAGTTGCAATCTTATATAAACTTTTTTCTACAATATAAAGTTGCAATCTTATATAAACATTTTTCAAAAATAAATAATTTTATTGTGTACTTTTCTTTAAAATCCATACATGTTCTCATTGACATTTATCCTAAGTCAATATCATTTATCTAGCAAAGTCATTGGCATTTCTCTCTCATTTGACCTACAATTAACAAATAAATATCTTAAAGGAAAATGTTTTGAAACGACCATAGCCTTACCTAACTCACCCAAAATTATAGGTCTGGTGTTAAAAAAACATTCAAATCCATCATCTCAGCGTTAACAACTATGATTGTAAAAAAAATAAGGTTTTAAGCCCTAAAAAAACATATATTGAAACACATTATATAGAATATCCATTTCGCCCTAAAAATAAATGTTCATTTATTAACAAGATTTATACCATTTTTTGAGCTTCAAATTCCATAATCAATATTGGAAATTGAATTTAGAGCCATCGTTGTTATTTCCAATACCATGCTTTTTGGACGAGAATTCGAAGTGAGGCTTTACGTTGTTTTTTGCATAGCCTAGGCCTTAGAAGAATTAGATCCTATTTTAAATAAAAAAAATAAAATTTGGATGCTATGTTTTTAAACACATAGATCATATCGTTCAAAAATTGGATAGGTCTCCATCCAATTTCAAAATACTATCTTTTCACACAAATAAAAATACAAATAAGAAAAGAGAAATGATCCTATAGGACCATCTTCCACCCATGTGTGTAAGACCCCAAAGGATCATAATTAAATTTGGCATAATTCTCTAAAAAAATCAAATCTCACACCTATGGGAGAGGGCCTACAAGATCATTACTCAATAAAAAAAATACACTTTTTTTTTTTTTTTCGAGGCTGAAGCTTAGGCTGAAGGATGAACTTATGATCCTAAAAATACTCCGGTGTAGACCTATGCTCAATAGGGTCTACGTGAAAAATTTTATAATTCCATTCCCCACTTACAAATGGGAAGGATGCAAGTAAAGTTAAAACGTTATGTGCTAGGAACACATCGTTTATTGACTCCTTCATGTAATGCCTAAACTACGAGTATTTAGGGCCTCAAATTTGGGCGATCCAAAGTTTTCAAGCATGGATTAGCATTATTAATTAAAAAATAAATAAAATTTTTATATCACATTATTTATGTGCATCCATTTTATAGTGGATTGTCTAGCATTTACCTTTTGTACAAAGAAATCACAACTATTCCCTTGGGGTGTGTCACGGCGAGAAAATTTTGTCTTGAACTTTGTGTCAAATCAATGACACTTTTACAACCACTCATTTTGAAATCTATAAAAAAAGAATGATTGTGACATCTTTGTACAAAAAGTAAATAGTCTCTTTGCAGACAATTCCATGCGATAAAGCTATAGTTAATGATAGGGCAAGTGGTATCTACTAAAATAGAGATCTACTAAATTAAAAATAAGAAAAAATTATGCATATATCTTTTTAAATTTATGTTATTTAACATATCCCTAGATATTTTTTGTTGTTACATTTGTACCTACTTGGATTGCAAATTTTATAAATTGAACAAAAAGCTCATAATTTGGTTCTTAAAGATCTGAAATTGATCATTTCTTCTAATTTAGTGATTTGATCACAGTCGTAATCCACGAGCACTTTTATATTTGTATAATCAAAAAATTATCCCGGCCTTGAGGCAGGAAAAGGGTATTTTTTGGATTTTCAAATCTTAAATTATTTTTTTTTCAAGGATTATTTTCAGATTTCCAAATTCAAAATTTTTAGATTTTCAAATTTTGAAATTGTTCTTGGCCTTGCTTCACAAATGGGCAAAATTAATTTTTGAATTTTGAAGATCCAAAAATTCCAAGTAATTTTCGATCTTTGTAAATCTGAAATAAGAGCATAAAATAAAATAAAAACAAGTGATTAGATGCGAACGTAGATTTTGAACTTTAAAGAGAAGTTAAAAAATTATAGGAAATATGCATGGAATTTAAAACTAAAAAAAAAAACACAAAACACGGGAAGGACTACTTCACGATATTTCCATAGGCACTCTCCCTCCATTTCCGGGGTGTACATTAAACTTGGGGGCAACTTGCCTCGGCCATTGGCATAGGCCTCGTAACTAAGTCAAGTTGGCCAAGTCTTAAAGCACTGGATAGGACACATGGCTCTCAATCAACCTATAGATAGAACGACTGTAGGGTAGGGGACAGATTTTAGTGCAGAAGCACTCCTGTTATCTAAAAGAGAGATCACACACTTGTAGGATACAAAATTTTATAAGGAACCAATTTCAAAAAAATTAATCAAACAAACCAATATACATCAATGAGAAGCACATAGGCCTCAACACTATACAATTACAAAGCCTCTTCCACTACCAATGAACAACTTATGAGCACGAACCACAATCCCTCTTAGTAATCAATAGAATATAAAGAATAAAAAGAACTAAATAAACACAATCTTAGATTCCAGCACCAATTGAAATTCCATCCTCTGCTTGAACTGCTTATGGCGCTTGCACCAGTCAATTGGGCACTGAGCACCTGGCCCTGATCTGCCCTGCTGATCCAGTAAGAGGTTCAATGTCCCCCATCTTCACCATAGCTGCCGCAAAGTCCGAGTAGAAGGCACTTCGACTATTACTATAAGACCTCACTATGTCATCAGTTGATCCACCATTAAACAACACCTGATCTGATTCCAACAAACCCTTTTTCTGCATCAAAATCTTGAAGTAGTTGTTGTC